TGTTTCAATTCAACCTATGTGGTCACGCCACGACTGTAGTAGTAGTTTTTTTTTTTCATGGGCACCCCCCTACATCCTTGTGTAAGGTGAAGCGCAGAAGCGTTTACAGCGCCAAACAGGGAAGCATGCTAAATTCATGCTTGCCTTTATGTCTCATGAGTTCAGGGCGTAGAAGCCTGAAGAGTCAAGGGCGTAGAAGCCTGAAGAGTCAATGGTTTATGTCTAAGCAAGTTATTGGAAGCTCCAACAACTTTCCGTGAATACGAATTCGCAACTCTCGATTTACAGCAGGTACCTACTTTGCTGCTAGGTGAACAGGGACCAAGGGAGGCTGGGAACTGTGTTCGAACAACTTTCCACTAGCCCGGAATCGAACCCTTGACATCTGGCTTGTGAGGCAAGAGCGTTACCGCTCTACTCACGTATTTTCGGCCCCAGGCCCTGATGTGAGTCACTGACCTGTGCCCTGGTGGGCGAATCCCGTAATATATATATATATATATATATATATATATATATATATATATATATATATATATATATATATATATATATATATATATATATATATATATATATATATATATATATATGTAACCGGTCGGAATTTACTGGACTTTAATTTCTCACTTGACTTGGGGTTTATTAAAGATTGTTAGATGGTAATTGCAGTGGAAGCGCCCCTTTGAGAAAAATCCCGAACCAGCACAAGAACACTTAAATCTACTAAACAAAACGACTTGTCCGTGACCCGTGGAAGGATAGGGTCTGTGACTGGGATGAATGAGACACACTGTAAAATTTAGACACTTATATTCCCTCCAACACTACAAACACAATCAAATAGTGGTACACCAATATGCTCACCTCTTAACTTGAACTTAAAACACTACTCTGGGGAATAAAAGTTATACATGATATTGAAATTATTAGAAACTCAGGCAACAATAAATTTAAAGTATTAAGAAATGTTGCTTGCACACATGAAACAGGCCTTAAGGGCTTTCAACAAAATTATATCACCCCAACAGATGCACAATTCCTAACCTAACTTAAACACTACTCTAGGGAACAAAGGTTATACCTGAGATCGGAATTATAAAGAAAAATTAAATGCATTAAAGGATTTAAATCACAGTATCACTCTGGTTCCACTTAGTGACACAAACATTCAGAAACAATACCATCAAAATCAATTAAGAACTATTACTACACACATCAAGATAATATCAGTAACTGAAAAAATGGTACTAACTACACACAAAAATATTGTCACTATTATTGAGATGTTACTGGGTCCACCAATACTCGTGAACCATGCTCCACTCAATTCAACATACACCGGTAATAAGGGAGATAAAATGTTTCTCTAGGTATCCCCTAGACTCCTGGTCTCAGTGTGTGACCATTAATCTACTCAGATAGCCTCAGTGTACTCTCAGTGCGTCCATGGGCGGGAAGAGAGAACGCCAACAGGTGACTATGGCCAGTAGGTAATACTTCTATCTGACCGAGGACACGTGGTGTGGTGTTGTCCACCCACGTGGTAAGAAATGATCACCCAATGCTGATGCTGGCCCCATATCGTTTTAGTTGTCAGGAGCACTCGTTCACTCAAGAGATCCTTTGCTCCCCGCTAACCAGTGACAAGCCAGCACTGATCGTTCCAACGGCGACAATCGCCAATCATCAATCCTCAACGGCAGTCTCAAACGGCAGTCAATCTCTCGCAGTCATCACTCTCGCAGTCAATTTCTCGCAGTCAAGTGGGTTCTGACGGAAACCCTGAAATTGACTCACTGTTAGCTCTTAATGACTTTATCACTGCCCTATCTTACCCCTATCTGAGATCGAATGAGACTTACTTGTTATACTGCAAGAGCGCAGCACAGGTGACTAGGCCATGTGACTATTTCTGTGACGGACGCACAGGGACGTCTTGTTGATCCGAATGCTTTCGCATTACTGAGAGCTAGCCAACCTCGTGTCCTCTCAAGGCGTCAGCTTAGGCCTACGTGACATATTTTCCGCCTAACTAATAACTCCTTGGGACACCCGTAACATTATTCAGACTGATAAACGATCTATAATAATTCCAAATTCAATAATAGTCCCTTAACTTCATGAATCGCATCATTATTAATTCGGCAAATTACATTTAATATCATATAGGCCTAGTTCCACTACCTCTCACTAAGTGAGGGGAGCGCTCTCTTCCCTCAGACGACCTTGAAAGCTCAGTATCGCCAATGGCGCGGCGTTTGAAATGACACTGAAATTTCTGAATATTACATATATATATATATATATATATATATATATATATATATATATATATATATATATATATATATATATATATATATATATATATATATATATAATCAACGACCTCACCAGCAAGGAATCGAACCCTCGACCTACTGGGTGTGACTAGGGAACGCTTACCGGCTAGGCCACAAGGACACTAAAAGCAGTTCTAGACTCTGTTATATTTCACACAAAGCCTGTTCATCGAGCTGATGGCGCCGTGAACCTCAATGGGAAACTGCCCGTGCCTCTTATGTGGTGTCAGTAGCATTTTACCGAATCCAGCTGGTATGAAACGCGAGGTACATATATATACTTCATTTTTAGTCCATATAACACGCGGACTTTGAACATATAATCAACGACCTCACCAGCAAGGAATCGAACCCTCGACCTACTGGGTGTGACTAGGGAACGCACTAAAAGCAGTTCTAGACTCGAGCTGATGGCGCCGTGAACCTCATGGGAAACTGCCCGTGCTCTTATGTGGTGTCAGTAGCATTTTACATAAGAGGCACGGGCAGTTTCCCAATGAGGTTCACGGCGCCATCAGCTCGATGAACAGGCTTTGTGTGAAATATAACAGAGTCTAGAACTGCTTTTAGTGTCCTTGTGGCCTAGCCGGTAAGCGTTCCCTAGTCACACCCAGTAGGTCGAGGGTTCGATTCCTTGCTGGTGAGGTCGTTGATTATATGTTCAAAGTCCACGTGTTATATGGACTAAAAATGAAGTATATATATATATATATATATATATATAATTTAAACACAAATTAATAAAACCCAAAAATCTTAAGTATGACAATAGGATTGAGCACAAATGTTTAAAATGACAAAAAATATAACTTAAATTAAAAACAAGAACCCAAATCACCTTCTTACTTGTATATGCAGTATCACCAGATTTTATGGTGTACACATTTCATGCTTGTGTTACTGCCTCACTCATTCTATGTACAATATAATCACCCAAGCAGTCCTTGCACCATCTTTAAGTCTTTAGTAAATATCCTTCCACCAAAATGTGATGTGAGCTGTTCGTTGAATAACCAACCAGTGAAAGAAGATCTACAAGAAGAAACTGAAAAGAATATAAAACATTCATAGATATTTCACGGGTCGTCCCAACACTTGAACGAAACTATTAATTATGATACGGCTGTAATGACACAGGCGTTGACGGCCGAAAAATCAATTAATCAATCAAGAAGTACGACAAGTCTCTTTCTGTGATTTACTGAGGAGTTTTCCACTCCGGCGCTGTTGTATTACCATATAGAAGTATCATTGTTGCGAGTAATACTCTATGTGTTTGAAAAGTAAAATATTGGAGGTGTGGTTAGAAATTAAATGCTGTCTTAATTGCGGCCACGTAACACTTAACTGGTATATCTGGAGACGTGTAGATTCCTTTGTAACACCACTGTTGTTCGGGAAGTGATCTAAATATTAGTAAAGGTTGTCTCATGGAGTTAAATATATAGTCAACGCTACAGTGTAATTGTCTTATCATTTAGATTCCTAACCTTAGGACCCAAATTCGCCGCAAACAGAGAGAAGCTCGGGAAGCAGCCATCCCCCTGCACTCCCCTCCCGCCTGGCACGATGTCCTCCGTAAACTTCCTGACCTCTCGTATGTCTATGGGAAAGGGGCGCGGAGAACGGACGTGATTGCTGCTCGTATCATCATTGGGTATGACTTTGCTCGGGAGATTGGTATCCCCACATCCCCTGAGCAACGCTCTTGTGCATTATGCAGAAGACCCGACAGCCGTACCCTTAACCACTACCTCCTAATATGTCCCCACACACAACGCTTCCGTGACGCCTGCTGGACCACCACTCCACGACCCCCTGACGGAGACACGATGATCCTCCCCATACTGGCCAGATATTATGTAAATAACATTGATTATGTGCTAAAGGAATATCCTTCCTTCCTTAGGCTTTAGTAAGCCCCTTTATAATATTTATACTGTATATACTTGTGACACTTGCGAGATGCTTCTGGTGTTATTGTACAGGGGTACCTAGTGACAGCACTAGGATCCCGCTTCCTCTATCAAGGAATAAACAATTGAAATTGAATTGATTCCTAGCCTGTCTAGCGTCGAACCTGGTTTATATTATATTGTATCTTGTATATTGTATCAATCAATCACTCAGAGTACCATCCTCATATCTGGAGGTTGGCGACCACAGTCCCCCACTCTAAACGTTCTTGGGCTGTTTTACCAATTATCTAAGGTTTTGTATCTCCCTTGGGGCACACTTTTTAATTTAATTCATCCATCCTATTCTCTACCTTACCCTGGCCCTCCTACCCTCAACTATGTCCATTAATATTTCTGTATTATTCCCCCATCTTTAATTATATGACCAAAGTATCTCATTTCACTTTTTCTGTAGATTTCAAGTATTTCCCTTGAAGTTTTTGCTAATCTTAGTAGTTCTTATTTAGTTTTTCTATCAGTGTAGCTTATCATTAGCATTCGCCTAAAACACGACTTTTCAAAGGCCTCCAACCTCTTTCTGGTGTCTGCTGAAAGTGTCCAAGTTTCTGACCGAATAGCAGTCCTTACCATAAAATAACTTTTCACTTATTTAAGTTCCCTGTTGCCTACCACACTTTACATTTTAGGACTTAAAAGTTCTCGATTCACACAAGAAGGATACAAAAAAGTTAAAAAATATGATCATCGGAAATTTTATTAAGTAAAATATGATAAAGAAAACTTTCATTGGTAAACCACACTAATAATAAATGATAAATATATACAAAAGGTGGGAGTCCAGTAAGCTCTTGGATCATGGTTGAGTGGATGCAGAAATCATTTTACCAGAGAGACAGTCGAGTGAGAGAATACAAGTGTCAAGTTATAAACATCTAAAATGGTGCTCCATAGGAAGTAGGTGGAGGAACTGGAGGTCCATAACCGTTGCTGGCACCATTACCATTCCCACCGTTACTGTTAGCTAAATTGCCATTACCGTTGACAGCATTTCCGTTTCTTCCGTTACCATTTGAACTATAACGGTTGCCATTACCATTACCTCCCTTCCCGTTACCATTAGAGCCATAACGGTTACCATTACCGTTGGTGGAGGGTCCATAACCACCGTAGGGGACGACGCCGATGAGCTCATTGACGGAGTAGAAGTTCTCAGCCTCAGCGCAGTCCACGTTGAACCACCAGTCACACACCAGGTACTGCTGGTTGAAGATGGTACCGTTGGGACAGAGGAAGGAGTCCTGCTGGCGTCTGCGGGCGCGGTCCTGGCAAATGTGGAACACCTGGCAGCCGGCTTCAGAGGCGGTATCAGCGTAATAGCCTTGCACCGCCTGGTCATCACAGGAGAAGCCAGTGTTTGGTGGAGAAGCCAGAATGGGGTAGTCTTCACCAGGGACGCCACCACCAGGGATGCTCTCCAGCAGAGCAGCAAGTTCATCTTGTCCGTAACCACTTGGGGGGCCATACCTGTTACTTGGGGGAGCTTCGTATCCGTTGCTTGGGGCTCCATTTAAGGCACCAAACCCGTTACTGAAACCTCCAAGAGGGGCTCTGTAGTTGCTAGACGGCCTGTCAGCGGCAGATACACTGATCAGTGCTGTGAAAGATAGATACATTTGATAAAATACCATAACGATCAAAATATCTGTGATTACAATTTCAATATTTTTTAAGATTTGTTTACAGTATATTCACTGATAACTGTTATACTGACCCATCAGCAGAATAATCTTCATGGTTTTAATTCAAGAGAAAGATGAATAATATAGAGAAGTAAAGGGTAGAGCCAGCCAGAGGAAGGTGCTGCTGGAAGATGATGGTGGACTGTGAGTTTCACTGGCCTTTATACCCGTTCCTTCACCAAGCTCCTCCCACCCACCTTGAACTCATCCTTTACCTCGTCCGCCCATCTTCCTCTTACTCTCGCTCGATTACTAGATTTCAGGTCATTCTACTGGAAGAATTTGTTTAAGAATGCAGAGCTCTATTAAGTACAGACAAATGCGTGACATATCATACTAAACTTTAACAAACTTTTATATTCATTGAAGTTAATTGAAGTTAGTAGAAATGAACGACATTTCAACGTCCAGTGTACAGTATAGATTTTTTTAGAAAAAGAGAAACACACACATTATTTATATATATATAAATATATATATTTACTTATATATATATATATATGTATATATATATATATATATATATATATATATATATATATATATATATATATATATATATATATATATATATATATATATATATATATATTGATAAAATCACACGGGAAAAGGGAAACAACGGAGCACCTTAGCTTTCGTCTTTATTCATTTTTTAGACAAGCTTAATGATATTGTCCCAAGTATCACATTCAAAATTGAAAGAGAAATAAATGGATCCCTTCCATTCCTTGATATGCTTATCATGAGAAATGGCCAAAACTATAAATTTAAGGTATATAGAAAGCCCACACAGGTAGACAGTTTCATTCACTTTCTATCGAATCACCTGGAGTCTACGAAAATGTCAGTTTTTTCTGCTATGTTCTTAAGATGTCTGCGTATTTGTGACTCTGAATTTATTGACGATGAATTGAAACACATTCGTTCCATTGCACAGAAACTCGGGTACCCTTCTGTGTTTGTTGATCGTTGGTTTAAAAGGGCTAAAAAAATCCTTTCATTCCTCTCAAACCAGGCAAATTCCTACACTTAAGAATATTTTGACTCTGCCCTGTCGTAATGAATTTGTCCCGTTAGTTTGGTCCCTCAAGCTTCTAAATATTAATGTTGTTTTCAAGTATGACTCAACCATTACCAATATGTTAATAAGAAATAGCCCAAGTTTGAATGTAAATGGAAGTGTTTATTATATTCCATGTAGCAAATGTAATTGTAATTATTTTGGACAGGCAGGAAAAACACTGCAGCTCAGAATCAAACAACATAAGTATAATATCAGAACAGCATTTGAAAGCAGTGCCTTGTTTGTTCATGTTATGAATAATAATCATCCCATTGCTTGGGAAAAAAGCTTAGAAGTATTTAAATCATCATGTGTCACAGAAAGACTTCTGGTTGAAGCTAGTTTGATTAAGGAATTAAAATCAATAAACCTTAGTGATGGTCAGTTCAAAACTGATAATATGTTACATAAATTTATTTGTCAGTGGCCCAAGGTTAAAAATGCTTTGAAAACCTTTGATCTAGATGTATGATAGTTATTTTGTGGGTCCCTTATTTTTGACCTGACCTGACTAGTCACGTCACCCCCCTTCTCTTAAGCTCCTCTACGTGTGTGTTGGTGTGGGGATTAGTGGATGACATCATTATGACCTGACCTCATGTTTTTAAGGTCACCCTGTATATTTAAGCCTCTCTCTGTCCATGTAATCCAGTTGCCTCTGAAGATGTCTTGAATAAAGACGAAAGCTAAGGTGCTCCGTTGTTTCCCTTTTCCCGTGTGATTTTATCAAGATTTATCTTATCCACGTTTTCATTGTGGATCTACATGAAATATATATATATATATATATATATATATATATATATATAGCGCTTTCGTGTAATTCACATCTTCAGGGGTGAGTACAGTCTGTACTCACCCCTGAAGATGTGAATTACACGAAAGTGCTTGGGAACTTCGTGTTTTCTTGTTTCCTTGTGGTTATCAGCATATATATATATATATATATATATATATATATATATATATATATATATATATATATATATATATATATATCTTGATAAAATCACACGGGAAAAGGGAAACAACGGAGCACCTTAGCTTTCGTCTTTACTCAAGACATCTTCAGAGGCAACTGGATTACATGGACATAGAGAGGCTTAAATATACAGGGTGACCTTAAAAACATGAGGTCAGGTCATGATGATGTCATCCACTAATCCCCAGACCAACACACACGTAGAGGAGCTTAAGAGAAGGGGGGTGACGTGACTAGTCAGGTCAGGTAAAAAATAAGGGACCCACTAAATAACTATCATACATACGTGTGTGTTGGTCTGGGGATTAGTGGATGACATCATCATGACCTGACCTCATGTTTTTAAGGTCACCCTGTATATTTAAGCCTCTCTATGTCCATGTAATCCAGTTGCCTCTGAAGATGTCTTGAGTAAAGACGAAAGCTAAGGTGCTCCGTTGTTTCCCTTTTCCCGTGTGATTTTATCAAGATTTATCTTATCCACGTTTTCATTGTTTGATCTACATGAAATATATATATATATATATATATATATATATATATATATATATATATATATATATATATATATATATATATATATATATATATATATATATATATATATATATATATATATATATATATATATATATATATATATATATATATATATATATATATATATATATATATATTAGGGTGGTCCAAAATATCACATATTTGTATACGTTTTCTCCACAAGGTTTATTTTTGTCCATTAGGTACAAAATGCATCCCAGAAAAAAATTGGATCATTTAAAGCATATTTAGAGGTCAATCCAATGTCCTCTTTTTTTCCATTTAGTACGTAATAAGGATTTTTCGGGGCTAGATAAACACATGATAAACACATTGTCTTTATTCAGCAAAATACAATTATAAGTTTTACAAATTACAAACTAAATAACTCTAGAACACCAATACACATTCTTTATTTGTATCCCTTCATCATAGCAGCTTTGCTTGCCGTTGGTAACTTCTTGCGATGAGCTGCAACAACCTGTAAAAGGTACTGCTTTTGGTCCTCATTTTGCGTTATAGACTCATTATAACGCTCTATGAGAACAATTGCCCTCTCTGCGCTGTCATTCACCACCTTCATATTTATCGCACGATCTCTCATTGTGATAAACACTTCATCGTCTTTCCATGTTTTGGGATCCTTACTCAAGAACAGTTGTGCTCTTTCTTTGCCATCTAGTGTAAGAACATCAAAAATATCTAATGTACGCTCAGTAACAAATGAGGCCACATTACTGATAGGAGTTTCATCAGATAGGACAATACGCCTTGAAAAGTCCTGTTTCTTTGGGCACTGGAAGTTTTGTACCATATTCTTCTTGGTTTCAGTATCGATCCTGTCATCAAATAAGCTTAGACCGATAAGATGTTCTGATAGATACCAGAGATTTCGGCTAATTGCTGCTTGTGCTGCGTGTGCAACTTTCTCATGAGGATATTCCTTTAAAACCTTCATTAGCTGCAAATCATTGAATGGAGCTCGAACAGCCATTGGTGCTTAATGCCAGAATCTCACATACATTATGTTCACAAACAAAGCCAGTTGTGTGATATTGTTTTCTTCCCGTGTTGATAATGTGAATTGATGTTTGAACAGATAGATTTTGAGAGCATAGATTCCTTTTGCCATCCATCTTGCATGGTGTGTAGGACCAGGAACTCGAAAGGAAACCTTACTACTTGGCAGTCCACCAAGAAACAAAAGAGCTAGTTCTAGAAACTCCCTAATTATTTCTCACAGGTAATAATTGCCTGCCATTCATATGCCATGACACAAGATGGAAACCTGCATAATATACTATTTAGATTGATAATGAAATAATTGTAGAACTGATGAGATATAAATGAAATAAGTAACTTCATCTGATTAATGGTAACCCTTGTCTGTGTTTCCTGTTTCAACCTGTCATTGTCAGTCCCTATGACTCAATACTTGACTCTTTGCCCTTTCCAAATAGGCAACTAGGCTATATACATTGAAATATACCCAATATAATGTGTTGTATATATTAAGACTGTATCATACGGACAAGAAAATTCAGTCCTACACTACAAGTATAATATGCAAAATGGATTGACCTCTAAATGTTAATGAATATGGATAAAATTTTACAGACCTTATCTATGAACCAAATGGACAATTTTAAGGCTTGTGTAGGCAATATATTACTACTTATATTTTTTACCATATAGTTTTGGACCACCCTAATATATATATATATATATATATATATATATATATATATATATATATATATATATATATATATATATATATATATGTGTATACATATATCTAATATACTATAGGACTAGGCGTGTGTCTGTCTGTTTGTGTGTGTTTCTGTTCTGGGCAGCGGAAACGGCACAAGCGTTTTTCATCAAACTTGGTGGAAAAATCGCAAAAAAATCGTAGAGTGGAACAAACCTGGTCCCATATCGATGGTTTCTTTAGGAAGCCATTAATTAAACATTTTATTTACGCTGGAAAACGATGCACATCTACGGACTTGGCGCACCCTTATTCGCTGTACGCTGTCAGCCCATGATTGCAGTTATCGTATGGCTCCCTCCTCCTCCCCCCACTTTTTTTCTTAGCCTACGTTTTTTTTAATGTTGTTTGGATTAGTAAAGGAAGGAAGATGAGTAAATAGAAAAATAAAGACGGGGAAACAGAAAATAGTTAGAGATAACAGGTGGGGGGGGGGAGCTGAGTTTCATCATGCATCTGGATGTGTAGTTTCAACGTTACCAGATCATTTTCGGACCTCACAGCTACAGTGTGTACAGTATACTTAATCCTGTGGCTGACTGTACATGGAAATGAGAAGAGAGAAAAAGATAATAACAGGAATGCATGGAGAAGAGAAGGAGAAGAAGAGAGACTGAAGCATTAGTATCCTTAAGAGGCGAGGAAAGGAGATGGGAGAGAGGGATAGTGAGAGGTGGAGGTATGAATGGAGGGATGGAAGGACAGAATAAGAATGGTATAGAAGGATAGTAGAGAAGAAGACTAGAGAAGGAGACAAAGGAAGG